AAAAAACAAAACAAACAAAATACTTTCAAATAAAGAAAACAAAACCGGCCATTGCAGGCAATACAAAAAACTGACAGCCTCTCAGCAAGCTGACATTAAATAAAGTTTTTTAAAGCAGACCTTCCAAAGGAGTTTCTCCAACCAGCCCTCCAAGCAGTCCCTCAAGCAGCCCTCTAAGCAGCCCTCTAAGCAGCCCTCCCAAGACATTGTGAGTATGAAAAAAGTTAAATGAAAGGTGACGTTGTAATTTCAGAACTAGTGTAAATTACCGGGTGAAATGTTTGGATCGGCCGCCGCCATGACGGCCGGTCTGTGGTGCATGCTGGGAAATGTAGTGAAGGATGCGACGCTGTGTGTGATAGACGGCGGTTATACTTTAATAACAGAGGGGGAAAACGGCTCCGTTTTCACATTTCCTCCCCCTTCTGAAGTCTTGACACAGGGGTGGCGAGACAGGAAATCCGCTACAGGGTTCAGCTTCCCCGCCCTGTACTGAATTTTAAACCGAAATGGCTGTAAAGACAAAAACCATCTTGTAATGCGAGCATTGGAGTCTTTCATTTTCCCCAACCATTGGAGTGCCCTATGGTCAGTCTCAAGCAGAAAGTCTCTTCCTAACAGGTAATATCTGAAAGACTCAAGAGCCCATTTCACAGCTAGGCACTCTAGCTCCACCACAGAATACCTGGTCTCCCGAGGAAATAGTTTGCGGCTGATATAAGCCACAGGCTTCTGCTGTTCATCCTCCCCCTGGAGAAGGACCGCCCCCAGCCCAACTCCAGAGGCATCAGTCTGCACAACAAAAGGTTTCTCAAAGTCTGGACTCTGCAGCACCGGCTCACAGAGTAATGCTGCCTTCAAGTCTTGGAAAGCCTGTTCATGCACCTCCTCCCACTTCACCCTTACTGACCCCGACTTCCGGGTCAGGTCAGAGAGAGGTGCAGCCCGGGTAGCAAAGTTCGGGACAAATCTCCGGTACCACCCAGCCAGCCCCAAGAAAGACTGTATCTCCTTTTTGGTCTGGGGTTGTGGGCAGTCTCGGATAGCCTCCAACTTGTCCTTTTGAGGTTTGATTACCCCACTGCCGATGATGTGTCCCAGATACCGGACCTCCGTCTGGGCTAGGGCACATTTCTTTGGCTGGATCGTCAGTCCAGCTGCGTGAATGCGCTTCAGAATCTCGGCCAGGTGTTGAATATGGTCTTGCCAGGTGGCACTGTAAATCACCACATCGTCCAAATAGGCTGCAGCATAGGCTCCAGTGCCCTCCAAGACTTGGTCCATCAGCCGTTGGAAAGTGGCTGGTGCTCCCTGTAGGCCAAAAGGCATAACAGTAAATTGATAAAGACCTTGAGGGGTACGGAAGGCCGTGTATGGTCTGGCTCCCTCCGCCAACGGTACCTGCCAGTACCCCTTACAGAGATCAAGGGTTGTGATGAACTGCGCCCTCCCAAGGCGCTCGATAAGGTCCTCCAGCCTCGGCATTGGGTATGCATCGAAGTAAGACTGAGCATTAACTTGCCTGAAGTCAATGCAAAAACGGATGCTCCCATCCTTCTTCGGCACGAGCACAATGGGACTACTCCAACCACTGCTGGAACGCTCGATGACCCCAAGCTGCTTCATGTCCTCCAGCTCCTGCTGGAGGGCCGGCAACAAGCGCTCAGGGATACGATACATCCGCTGCCTCACCGGAGTGGAGTCTTTCAGCGGGATGTCATGGTCCACCAATGAAGTGTGACCCGGCTGCTCGGAAAACAGACCTGCAGGTATGACAGCCTGCACTTCCTTGGCCTGCTGAGCAGTCAGGTGTGAAAGGTCTGGTTCAGTGGGGGAAACAGCAGCTGGAAAGAACTGCTCTGGTGGATCCTCATCCTCCTGCACTGCTTGTACCATCAGCTGTTGGCTGACAGGTGGCTCCCGTCCGTGCCACTCTTTGAGAAGGTTGACATGGTAGGCCTGTCGAGTCTTCCGCCTCCCCGGCATCTCCAACTCGTAAGTCACTGGGCCCAGTTGACGTGTAATCCTGTACGGCCCTTGCCAACGGGCAAGGAGCTTGTTCTCCGTTGTCGGCAACAGCAACAGGACCTGCTGCCCCGGTGAAAAAGTTCTCTGGCGTGCAGACTTGTCATACCACCGTGCTTGGGTCTCCTGCGCCTGCTGCATATTCTCCTCCACCAAGGAGGCCATCTCCTCCAGCTTGTCCCGCATCCTAAGGACATAGGAGAGGACGCCGTCTGCTGCTTCCGGTTGAGGTGCCACCCAGGCATCTCGCAATAAATCCAGAGGGCCCCGGACATGGCGCCCGTACAACAGTTCAAAGGGCGAGAACCCCGTGGAGGCCTGGGGAACCTCCCTGTAGGCAAAAAGCAGGTACGGCAACCACTGGTCCCAGTCTTTGCCATTCAGAGCAACAAACTTTTTGAGCATGCTCTTCAGTGTGCGGTTGTATCTCTCAACCAACCCATCAGTCTGGGGGTGGTAGGGAGTAGTCCGTATCCCCTTTATCCCCAGTAAGCTATAGACCTGTTTAAGTGTCTTTGATAGAAATGCAGTGCCCTGATCTGTAATTATCTCCTGAGGTATGCCTACCCTAGAGATCAGCTGGAGTAAGGCACGGGCAACAGCAACGGCTGTGATTTTGCGCAAGGGGAAGGCTTCTGGGTAGCGGGTAGCATAATCACACACAACAAGGATGAACCGGTGACCTGACCTTGTTCTCTCCAGGGGACCAACGATATCCATCCCTATTCTATGGAATGGGACACCAATAATGGGGAGAGACTTAAGTGGGGAAGGCCTAACTTTATGGCTGCTGGTCAGTTGACAGATGGGACATGACTTGCAATACTTCAGGACATCAGTATATAACCCTGGCCAGTAGAATCGCCGTGCTATCCTCTCAAAGGTCTTGACATTACCCAAATGTCCTGCTAAGGGAACATCATGACCTAGGGCCAGCACTTTCCCCCTCAGACACTGTGGCACTACCACCTGCTCTATACTGCCCCCCTCAAGTTGATGAAAAAGCAAACCATGCCTGATAAAATAATCCTCCCCATACAAAGCAGTGGCTATCCCACTCCTGACACCACATGTGAGAAAAACGGCTCGCCAGCTCTCGTCTCACGTCAGAGGAGGAGTAAGCAGATGACTTGCAAAAATTAAATGGTAAGAACCAGCGGACGACAAAATTCCAGTTAAAAAGCGTGTAGCAATTTATTTACTGGCGATGGTGAAGACAAAAAAAAACAAAACAAACAAAATACTTTCAAATAAAGAAAACAAAACCGGCCATTGCAGGCAATACAAAAAACTGACAGCCTCTCAGCAAGCTGACATTAAATAAAGTTTTTTAAAGCAGACCTTCCAAAGGAGTTTCTCCAACCAGCCCTCCAAGCAGTCCCTCAAGCAGCCCTCTAAGCAGCCCTCTAAGCAGCCCTCCCAAGACATTGTGAGTATGAAAAAAGTTAAATGAAAGGTGACGTTGTAATTTCAGAACTAGTGTAAATTACCGGGTGAAATGTTTGGATCGGCCGCCGCCATGACGGCCGGTCTGTGGTGCATGCTGGGAAATGTAGTGAAGGATGCGACGCTGTGTGTGATAGACGGCGGTTATACTTTAATAACAGAGGGGGAAAACGGCTCCGTTTTCACACACACACAGTATTGCATGCAGGTCGAAAGGTTCAGTTCCAGTTGTTCAGTTCAACTCTATGCCTTTGCAAAAGGAGAGTGTTTCCGCAGCATCACGCTGGCCCCAACATGCTTCACCATGGGACAGGTGTGCACAGGAGAAAGTGAAGCAGTACCTTTCTGCTGATTTTCTGATGATTAACTGAACATTGCTCAATGAGATGCCCATAGCTTTTTAAGTTGTTTTATAACCCAATTCCTGCTTTAACCTTCACAGATTTCAGGTCTAAAGTGGTCAAATGACTAACGTACTGAGATTAATTTAAATTTTACTATAAAATTCTTTCAAATAGTTACAATGGATTCTAATTAGCAAAAATCAAAATAAAAATTACTTTCACATTTCTAATGGTTAAAAGTTTGAAATTATCTTCTAGGTCATAACAATTTTCAACTTTGTGTGGCGCTCTCACATCAGATCCCAACAAAATGCACTGATTTTAGTGAGAAAGTGTCAAAAACTTTTGCAAAAACACTGAATTTATTTGCTTTAGGTTCTGCAACATTACTTAAAACATGCTGTGAGCTCAGTGCGAGAGAAACTGTGGCTTTTGTTTTGTATGTAGAACAACAGGATAAAGCGATCAACACAGTCCAGATGTTCTCTTTTTCTCGTAAACACTTTCCACAAACATCTCTCTGAGCAATGTGCCGCTCAAAATGCTGTAGGGCAGTTTTAATGAGGTTTGACAATAAAGCCTGCGACAAGCCATATTTGTCATCTTGTGGCACGCAGTACTACACATCAGCAAACTTTGCAGACCCCCCTCATTCCAATGCAGGCATTGTGTAGGAGTCTGGCTTTTCTGTAAAAGCAACCTTTGTGATGTTGAGTTGCTCAAATTATCCCTGAAGTTGACCTCAGGGTAAGTCGTTCTTTCCACACAAGATTTTGTCTAAAGGCAGAAAGGAAGATACAACACTGTGGCTCTGTCAGACAGGATTTACAGACTGGGGAGCAAAGGACAGAGCTCTCTCACTCAGTGAAACCAAATGCAGAATGCTCTCGCCTCAGGTTTATCCGAGCCCATCTGCAGCAATGCTCCACTTAACGGCGCCTCCAGCTGACTGTTGGTATGTTGGAGTAGTTGTTGAAGCAAAAGATGTCTGCAGAATTCACCTTCTCAAACTGGACCAAAATCCCAGAAATGCAAATCATCGTTTCATGTGTCATCTCGCTAGCTCTTGTCTGGAGCTCAAGAGGTCGTTGACATTTTCCCGACAGGCATTTAGAGTACATCAGCTTCTATCCCCGACCACCCGTCACCCTTCCTTCATGAAATACCACAGAACAAGACACCTACCTCAATTATTCTGTCATGGATTTGAAGGCCTCCCTCCTTGTCTGCTGGACCTTTCTCAACAATCTTGGACACAAAGATCCCTTCATTTGAAGTGCCGTCACTGTCGTCCTGTGGATTAGATTGCTGTTATTTTTCAGCGAACAATAAAAGCACAGTTCTTACTTTGACAAGAACATGGCATGCATTAAATTCCTTTAAAACTTGGCAAAAAACCTTTGGATTTTTTTTTAGGGAAATTCCTCTCTAAGTAAAGATAAACAAAAGGAAAATATTTCAAAAGATTTTAAGGATAGGTTTGATTTTTCAGGTCCGATAAAAGCTAAATCATTCCAAAATTACTGGGGTTTTTTTTTCAAAGGCGAAGAAAAAAAAAGAGAATTAGAGAGTAAACTAGAACACCATAACTGTCGTCTGACACACAGAGCTCTATAGTTCACAAAGTTAGCAAATACATGATATAATCGGCTACAAAAACATGTACATTATGCTTAACAAAAAGATGTAGCTAATTTGTAGACCCTTATTTTGAAATAAGAAAAAAACAAGTTCTTGAGTTGTCGCATGTGTTCAATCAGTTCAAGGTAGTCAATTACACACAATTACAAAAGCTTTAAAGACTAGATCGAGTCTGAATTCCTAACTTGGCATATAGTTGGGTAGTTCGCAGTAAACACATCAGAGTTTTAGGAAATGTATAAATCAAAATTTGAATAGGGTTTATTTGCCAAGTTTTTACACAACATAAAATAAAAAAATCTGACTTTGATTCCATTTGAATCTCAATAGGTATGAACTCGTAATAGTTAGGTGCAGGGTAGAGGTCACCGGTTAGGCTTTTACAAATGGGTTAGAAATTAATAGAAGTCAGTGCAAAAGCCTCTATATCAAATATAGAGAGATATATTGTGTGTCTGTATCTCCATCTCAGCGCCGTTTTGTTATCAGACCTGGATCAGACCAATATTAGTGGTGTCATTGGTGAATTTCAGGAGTTTAATGATGGGTCATTTGCGTACAGAGAAGTACAGTAGGGAGAAAACACACACCTGAGGAGTGGCTGTGTTGATAATTTCTAAGTGCAAGAATACTGCAACAAGCTGAGTGTTACTGTAGCTCCTAAGGATGCTAAAATTAGCATCTGATGTAAAGGTTTAGAAGTAAAAGTGTAATGTCCCAGTTGACAATGGATCTAGTAAGCAGCTGGTCAACTTTTGTTGAAATAAAAAAGTAATTTAATCAAACCTGCAATATTAATTTTTTAAGATTTATAAGACTTTTTTCCATGCATTTGGCAATAGGACCGTCTTAGAATTAGGCCATGCAAAATTTACATTTATATACACATAAAACAATATTTTTCTTTCATAGCCTAACTTGCAGCATACAGAGTTAACAATAACAGTCAATCAGATTAACTTGCTCAAGGGGCTAGCCTATATTCATACAATTAGGTTTAAGTTGGAGTTTTTTACCTACTAACTATAGTTTTATAACAGAATTATGTTAGTGATAGAGATAAAAAGTGCTAAGGGTTTCCAGAACATAACTTGGATAGAGAAAAGCTATTTTGAGTAAGCACTGATGATGAATAAAATACGTTTTCACTTGACAACTTTTTTGAGTGTATTCACCCTTTAACCCCTCTTTTCAGCGCAAGCATTTATTTTAGCATAACGTGCTTCTTCGCCCTAAACGACTTACCCTATACGACTAAAGGGACAAACAAGTTGGCATGTTCAGGGGTCATACGGAAGGTTGCTTTCAGCACAGCTGGCCTGTGCACCCCCCAGTCAGAGCTAAATCTGACTTAGCACCTTGTAGCAGTCTCACTGACAACACAAGAAATATGTCCCACACACCTGCTGAGCCGTGCAGCATGACCGCACTTTAATGAGTTAACTAAAGAAACCTCCAAGCAGGCAGTAATTAACAGTAATTGGTCGTCAGGAAATGCAGTTTTATCCTACGAGGGTTTGCTGTGTATTTTTACAAGTCTCTTTGCCTTTAGTTGTCACAGAATCAGTGAGCAAATTATAATGGTTGAGAAAAAACGTTTTCATGCAACTCTCTCACAGTTTATCATGTTAGATGCACAAACTTTCCCTTTTTTGCTTGGACTTTATGTGATAAACCATAGACCGTGTAGCAGCTGCTGAAGCACTGCTTTGATATATATATATATTTATATAAAAATAGGAATATGAAAAGTGTGACACATTTAAATATGGTTTCCCTACTTGGATACCTAGGAATAAAATTCAGCATAACCAATTGCCTCATGAAGTGTATTTATAGTCTATCTCTGTTTATTTAAGTTAGGGTTAGAAATCTTGTCCCAGACATTTCCCTAGCATAAAGATCCAGTGAAGTGGTAGTTACGCTGTGCTTCCTGCTCTAACGAGTAAAAAAAAAAAAAAAAAGATTGCTCTTGCACTTAATCTGTTTTGTGTCCTCCTCATGTCCTATATCATGGGTAAAGTAAACTGTTTATTGAAATGTTTTTTTCAATACTGCAGGTTTTTGGATTGACCTATATGGGGGTGAACCCAGCTGATATACCTTGTGATTCTGAGATTTTATTTTGTATTTTCCGCAAAGGAGATGTGTCCTCCTTTGTCATTTTTTCTGTTTTCCTTCCAGAGTAATCAGAGTAATGTAAACAATATCTTTGTTCTCTTAGAAAGATCGCTACTCCTCTAAATAAACTTGGTTTCTATTTTTATTTATTAAAATGCTAGATCTAAGTGACTAGTGGGATAATGAGAAAAAATAAGAGTCAGGGGAATATGAGGTTATTCCCCATTGATTTCATTGAGATGTGATTGACTTCAAAGCCTGGCAAAGCCAAACATAGTAACAGAGCAGGAGGCAGCATTTTACGATGCGTCACTCCCATCGCTTTCTGTTGTTCTGCTGGAATAACAGCAAGATGGCAACCAAACTGGAGCAATGTTTTGATAATACCCTTTCTAATAAAGAGAGATAGTTTTAACTTTAAAACCTCAACGAAAAAGAACGTCACATCCGTAGTTATCTAACTGGTTCCAATTTGATGACGCTGACTCTTTTAGCCCTACCAACAAAGTAAAAAAAAGTAAAAAAAAAAACAAGCAACTGGACTTTGTCTTCCAAGTATGAAGATGTTTCGCTTCCCATCCAGGAAGCTTTTTCAATTCAAAAACTCAAAATGGGAGGCAAAATGTCTTCAGACTTGGAAAACAAAGTCCAGTGGTTTGTTTTTTGACTTTTTAGGGAAGATTGTGACCTGGATGACTGAGAATCTTCGCCAGCATGTTAGCCTTACCTTTAAAATCAAGCTCTACCAGCTCTTTACCAGACTGATATGCCGCATATATGTCATATCAGTATGGCAGGCCAGGCTAATAACTTTATTAAATGCAATTTTCCGTCAAATTGAATGCTAACTTGTGTTCAGTAAGTTATATCCTTTAAAAAGTACAAGAAAACGTCTAGGCCCAAATTCAATTTTAAATCTGTGGTGAAGCTTTAAAGGTGATGTTCTCAGATCCTCTCAATGCAGTCTGACTCAGCAGGAACTGCTTCAACATACCATGCTTTTTTCTCTTTTTATAACGAATATTATCTACATTTTCTTTTCTATAATCTAAAATCCTGACAAAACACATTTAACTCTGTAAATGTTGTGTCAAAGCATAAAGTTGAAGGCTTTTTTTCTTGGTCTAAATACCACAGAACCAGGTTGCTGATTAAGACTGACAAGGAAAACAAGCCAACAGACCAATAAAGTATCCACTTCCATAGAAATCTCTCTACCAGAACTCTAGTATAGTAGACATGAGAGGATCTTGAGAATAAAGCCAAGCACCCTATAATTAAATGCATTATTGGTACAATTGGAACACAGAGAACCATGTCAATATGAATAAAGCAGCAGAAAAAGCTTTCTATCTATGAGGGATAAAGCCAAGACATTTACAACCCTTCACTCGGCAGAGCGTGTGGCATCGTTAATGCCTTTTACCTCATAGCCTGGAGGTAGGAAACACAGTGGCTGTGAAAAGTTTAGGCAGGGATAACTAGACCCTTTTCCCCTGTGTTTACCTCACCACCAAAATCCCCTCAATTAAAGACCAAACAAATGCGGTCATAACCCTAACCCAAAATTTAACTCCCATAAATGTAATTATAGATATTTTCATTTGTTTCATGCCAAATCTGCAAAATCAGACCGACGGATAAACACAATAATGCTTGGTGGTGCGGTCTATCTGTTCACCAGCTACAAAACACCATGCTAGGCCAAACATCTGAACCGTGTCAATCAGAGCAGTCACAGAAGGCTTGGGATTCTTCCAGTTGACTGTTCATCCCTGCCCTGCTACATGAGACTGGTCTGACCATCGAGAAGGCTGCAGAGTCTAAAATGCTCAGCTTTCAACCTACCGCACATGGCCTCCCTCCAACGATGTTAAAACCCAAAGATCCACCATCACGAAGGAGGACAGCTGTCACACTTTTAGTGTTGTCCTCCTACAGAAAGAGAGAAGAGAGACACATGATCAAAAGGATTTGTGTAAAAGGACATTAACAAACTATTTACTCCTAGTAAGAAACAGACTTTAAATGAAAGTATCTTTCTTACAATTAGATAACTCAATATTTAAATTAGACTGAGAGTAGAGCGATGATGGCAGAGAAGAATTTTGGCCTTTTTTTTGTCTGCAGATCTGACCATTTCCTTAAAAAAATAACTTAGCTCTAAACTATCATTGCTGGATTGAACACTTTCTGGCTTTGCAATCCGTGGATAGCTGAATAAATGGACAACAATGAACCATAACTGTTGGACTTGGCAGCATTGTTTTACGACGATGGATTTGAAAGATTTGGCTTTCAAAACACTGACTCAGTTACATCTGATATTAGAAAAGCATGACAACAAGAGTCACATAGAATGTAAATGATTTATCATATACCATTAGAGCAGTAAAATCAAGTTTTGCATTTATTATTGAAATGTCTCAAAGCACTTTGTGGAGGAAACATTTGATAGGATTATATTACAGACAGAGCAGTTCACCGGCCTGCAGAAGTTTTTGGCCAATATTCGTGTTGTTTTCTTGTACAGGTGCTGGTCATAAAATTAGAATATCATGAAAAAGTAGATTGATTTCAGTAATTCCATTTAAAAAGTGAAACTTGTATATTATATTCATACATTACATACAAACTCATATATTTCAGATGTTTATTTTGTTTAATTTTGATGATTACAAATGACAACAAATGAAAATCTCAAATTCATCATATCAGAAAATTAGAATATTACTGAAGACCAATAAAAACAAAGGATTTATAGAAATGTTGGCCAACTGAAAAGTATGAAAATGAAAAGTATGAGCATGTACAGCACTCGGTATTTAGTTGGGCCTCCTTTGGCCTGTATTACTGCAGCAATGCGGCGTGGCATGGAGTCGATCAGTCTGTGGCACTGCTCAGGTGTTATGATAGCCCAGGTTGCTATAATAGTGGCTTTTAGCTCTTCTGAATTGTTGGGTCTGGTGTATTGCATCTTCTTCTTCACAATACCCCATAGATTTTCTATGGGGTTAAGGTCAGGAGAGTTTGCTGGCCAATTAAGAACAGGGATACCATGGTCCTTCAACCAGGTACTGGTAGCTTTGGCACTGTGTGCAGGTGCCAAGTCCTGTTGGAAAATGAAATCTGCATCTCCAAAAAGTTGGTCAGCTGCAGGAAGCATGAAGTGCTCTAAAACTTCCTGGTATGTGGCTGCGTTGACCCTGGACCTCAGAAAACACAATGGACCAACACCAGCAGATGACATGGCACCCCAAACCATCACTGACTGTGGAAACTTTACACTGGACTTCAAGCAACGTGGATGAAGTGCCTCTCTTCTTTTCCTCCAGACTCTGGGACCTTGATTTCCAAAGGAAATGCAAAATTTACTTTCATCAGAGAACATGACTTTGGACCACTCACCAGCAGTCCAGTCCTGTTTCTCTTTAGCCCAGGCAAGACGCTTCTGACGCTGTCTGTGGTTCAAGAGTGGCTTGACACAAGGAATGCGACAGCAGAAACCCATGTCTTTCATACGTCTGTGTGTGGTGGTTCTTGAAGCACTCACTCCAGCTGCAGTCCACTCTTTGTGAATCTCCCCCACATTTTTGAATGGGTTTTGTTTCACAATCCTCTCCAGGGTGCGGTTATCTCTCTTGCTTGTACACTTTTTTCGACCACATCTTTTCCTTCCCTTCGCCTCTCTATTAATGTGCTTGGACACTGAGCTCTGTGAACAGCCAGCCTCTTTAGCGATGACCTTTTGTGTCTTGCCCTCCTTGTGCAAGGTGTCGATGGTCGTCTTTTGGACAACTGTCAAGTCAGCAGTCTTCCCCATGATTGTGTAGCCTATAGAACTAGACTGAAAGACCATTTAAAGGCTTTTGCAGGTGGTTTGAGTTAATTAGCTGATTAGAGTGTGGCACCAGGGGCCATCAATTTTGAACCTTTTCACAATATTCTAATTTTCTGATATGATGAATTTGAGATTTTCATTTGTTGTCATTTGTAATCATCAAAATTAAACAAAATAAACATCTGAAATATATGAGTTTGTATGTAATGTATGAATATAATATACAAGTTTCACTTTTTAAATGGAATTACTGAAATCAATCTACTTTTTCATGATATTCTAATTTTATGACCAGCACCTGTATAGGCTTCGACCAATACATGCATTCATTTGCAGATTAAAAAGGGCAGTAAAGTGCTTTACTTTGAGATCACCTGACGTGTGGCATTGTCGCTATCTGAATAAGCTATCCATTGTTAATGTTTTATTTGATTTCTTTAACAATAGCTTTTTTTGTTGAAATTGAGAGTTATGGAAGATTTTTTAATCATTGTGTAATTTGTATCATCTAAATAGAGCTTCAGCTTCAGCTTCAAAGATCCACCCAAAAAAATTACACCACATATCAGGGATCAGTTAGACTAATTGGCTTTAAAAAACCTGTATCGTAAATCTCTTTTTACTGCAAGTGCCATCCATGCAAATTCAGTATGCCAATAATATCTGTGCTCTGTTAGAAAGATTGCCACTGTTCTCAATGTCTGTATTTAGGGCATATTTTTATTGTTAAAGATGTCAAAGGTAACAGAAGGGTGATATATCATGATAAATAAGAAGGTAGAAAAAAATTAAAAGGGGAATATGGAGTTATTTGTCATCAATATCTTACATTATTCAGCCAAAGTGTCACAATTTAATAATTTTCTTTTAACTTTTTCTTTTAAATTATTGCTGAAATTATTATTAGGAACACTTAGAAGGCTCTATCCAGTAAGCTTAATCAGCAATAACCTCATTTTCTTAGGGATTGCGAGGGGCATTTATCTGTTAGTGAAATGAGCTAAATATTTAAAATGGAGCCAGAGATTCCACTTCTAACAGAAATTGTCCCTAAATGTAACCAGAGTTACTATGGAATGGTTGATATTAAAGCAAAGTCATATTTTGAGAATGGCCAAGTCAAAGCTAAGACCTAAACCTAATTTGTAAATAATGGCAGAAAAAGAAAAATACTATTCTCAGAAACCCAAACCCCAATCTGACTGAGCTGGAGATATTTATCAGATAACAAATTCAGTTTCATGAAATACAAAGCTGGTAGAGACATAACCCAAGTAGGTTCTCAGGGGTGATAAATAAAAATGCACATAATTTGCTTTTATTCAGTAAAATAATTTAATACAATTTTTCTTTATGAAAATCTAATTTTTGAAAAATCTGGATTTTAATAGAGAATGGCTGCCATAGCTCAATGTAACATCAGTTCATCACTTTTTTGTCTGTATGCGTTATCATAACTGATAAACTAGCTCCTATGTGATACCACTAACTTCAAGCATTTAGTTAGTTACATTTATATTTTTAGTTGTGAAACAGGATTATTTTACAATCACGTTTTAAACCTTAACATTTCGTTGCCCTTTTAGACTAAAATAACCTCCCATAGGGGATGATTTATATTACAGGTACATTTAGGAAGCAATTCTAATTTTACCACTTGCTTCACTTTTAAGCAGACCTATTTTCACAGTAAAATAAATAAGAAAATATAAGAAAAGGGAAACTAATCTTTTTTAATGTCATGAAGTATAGCAGCGAGACATGACAAACATCCAGAATCTCATAACTAGTGTTTCCTAATTAAATGCAGTCTGTTATAATGTCAGGAAAAGTTCTTGTACTTTTCTGCTATAACAAGCTAAAATGTCTGCTGTTAAAAGCATCAGTGGAAACTTGAAACCTTTACTGTTTTTTTATATGGAAGTCTGTGGGGAGCGTTAAGTTGATGGGTCTTCCAGGCTGTCACAGATGTAAGATGGATAAATACAAATCAGACTTTCCTTTCTTTTTCATCCGAAATGGGAGACAAACAACTGCAAGAATTTTGATGGTACTAAAAGTCTTGTTTTCATAATCACTTTTTATTTTTATCCAGTAATTAAAAGGGGTTTGGAATTAGAGTTCAAAACTATTTGATGACACCATCAATTAGATCCAACTACTAAATATTATTAAGACACAGTAAACCAAAGGCACCATGTTTTATGTAGCCTTATAAATTATAACAATGTTCTAGGGAAGTTTCCAAGCATCGCTAACTTCTAAAATGTCCCAAGCTCTATATTTATATATTTTTTATCATTATATTTAAAATATATTACAATTCTTTTTTATTATTATAACTCATTACAAGATTAGTCTTTTAACGAGTTATTTCAGCATCTTGATCCAACCCATTTTAGCCTTTTACAGAATTGTTTTAAGGATTTTATAAATTGTCCTCTTTCAAAACCTAGAACTCTAGTTATAAGAGAGAAGGTTTAACATTTTACAGTTTGTGTGCAAAACAAGCCCAAATAATCGTCTCTCTTTGTGCTTACTGTATAACAGGACAAATAGGCACAGCCCACCGCAAGGAGTTTAATAAAAATACAATATTTCCCTATCAATACTCCATGTCTGACAGCTGCAGATGTACACGTCTTCACATTTTTCGGGTTTTATAAAAGACAGCGTTAGACGATCCCTACATTTCTGAAACTTTTTGTGTTTTTTTGTAGTTTTCTGAAAGGCTCTAGTCGCAATGCGACCAGGATCAACCTTGTGTGTTTCAGTCATGTACTTATATCTGAGAGGCGCAGCTGTCCATAGTTCATTTTCAAACCACAAAAGTGTTCTTACCGTTACCCCACAAATGGTCAAGGAAGAAGAATTATAGTAGCAGCCAATTTCCAGCCACTGGAGTGACCCCCTCCTTCTCCCGGGCACGCATATTTTTTAACTCTGACTCAACCCTTTCACTGAATTAAAGGGTGTGACCAGGAGATGATGCTTCTCTTTAGATCTTAATATCCACAAATCATGACAGAAAGAATATTTTAGTACAAAGATTGATGTTTAAAAAAGGAATCTTAGGGGACCAGCTAAGGGCCCA